GAGGGGGAAGGGCAGAAAAATCATCATCCTCATACAGCAATCACCCAGTGAGTACTTAATTTGTGCTAAGTACTCTTCGAAATGTTTTCTATGTGCTGGCTTGCTGAATCACGCCAGCCCCATAAGACAGGCTCTCTCTCCTCTCCTGCACAGACAGGGAAGGAAACTGAGGTCAGAGATGCTGAAGAACTTGCTCCACGTCACTGGGCTGAGACCCCAGGAGGTCTGGCTCTAGTCTGCGCTCTCAGAATGACACTCTACCACGTCCCCGGAAGGAAGGAAATACGGGTGGTCCAGAACTGAAGGATTCTCCTGGGATGGTCTCAGTTGTCACGGGCAGCCACTGATGCCAGGCTCCTGCACCCAGGGCGGACCCCCAACTGAGTAGGGTATACACTCCTCCCAGCCCCCATCTGCCCAGACACTGCCCTGAAGGGAGAAGCAGAGAAGGCTGGCTCTCTAAGAAACTGCACATTTTTATTCCAGGGAGTATATCATCTAAAGGGGCTGTTTAAATCATCAGATTAGACTAAGCTTTAAGCCGGATTGGATGTTTGCTTAATTTTCCCGCTAACCAGTGGGTGAGGGGCTGGGAGAAAAGCCAGATTAGTTATACACGGGTATTTTTCTTTTTTTTTTTTTTAATAAAAAAGAAAGACCTGAAAGGTAAAAAGAAAAAAAAATACATATATATGTACATAAATAGGTGTGAAATGATGAGCACGAGAAGCAAGGATTTTTCAAAGTGCTTTCGTGGCCCCAGGCTAACTTGAGTTTTTTCTGATCCTCGTTCTGATCCTCGCTGGAGGGAGAGCAGGTGCTGCCTCTGCTTTGTAAGGGGCAGAGGGGAGCCTGAGAAAGCCAACAGGCAGTTCAAGGTTGCGGCGTGAGTCCGTGGGGAGCGAGGATGAGGACCCGGGTCTGCTGAAGCTCTGTTAACACACCTTCTCTCTGGTGTGTTCATTCCACAAATGTGTGTTGGGCAACTACTGTGTGTCAAGCGCTGTGCTGTGTGGGACAGACACAGGACAGACAAGGGTCAGTGCTCCATCGGGAGGGCCACAGGGCATCCTGGGCACGTCCAAGGGGGCACCAAACCCACCCTGGGTGTCACACAGTCTTTTGGCAGGTGCTAAGCTGGAGTGTAAGGTGTGTCGGGCTGTGAGCACACGCGTCTTGTGAGAGAGAGAGCACGGCACGTTCAGGGAACTGAAGTGGCCTCTGGGTGCAGGTGAGATTGGGGGCAGAGGCTGGAGAGAAGCAGAGCCCTATCCTGGAGGGTCTTGCCTCCCTGCTAAGTGCCAAGACTTGATCTCCAGAGTAGGGTATAGAGTTGGAGTGCAGGCTTTGTCTGCCAGCATCCCTTTACCCAAAGAACACTCTTCCTGGGGAGCCTGGGTGGCTCAGTCGGTTGAGCATCCAACTTCGGCTCAGGTCATGATCTCACGGTCTGTGAGTTCGAGCCCCGCGTCGGGCTCTGTGCTGACAGCTCGGAGCCTGGAGCCTGTTCCAGATTCTGTCTCCCTTTCTCTCTGCCCCTCCCCCGCTCACACTCTGTCTCTGTCTCTCGCAAAAATAAATAAACATTAAAAAAAAAGAAGAACCCTCTTCCCTGTGTGCCAAGTTGTTCTGGAGAGGTGGCCCGCCATATTGTCCACACTGACCCAGCCACAAATGATGATCACCCACGTGATGAGTGGGTCTGGGGTGACTGGAGCGTCCCATGCCACCGGTCGCTGCACTGGGTTAGGCACTGCGTGCGCTAGGCAGGGTCAGCCGGTCCTCCCCAGGACTGAAAGGTGGAGAGAAGTTCACTCTCTGCCATGACCGTGTTGGGGGCTGCTGGTTGCCACCTGGCCGGCTGCACGGAGAGAGATCACATTTGGGATGAAGCCAGGCAGACACACACACAGAGCCCAGGGATGGTGCAAGAGAAGGAGAGCCCTGGGGACGTACGCAATCTCCTAGATCCGACAATGTGATCCCTTTTCGGGTCACTACTGTTTATTACCAAGAATGCCAACTAGCACCAAAGAGGCACCTCAGGGTTGCTAGCTGGGGAGGAGCATGGTTAGATGCTCCACCCCTATGCCCTGCCTCTACCAGGAAGCAGGCTGCAAGTGACAGGTAATTAACACGCCCCAAGAGCAGCTTTCAACCAATGATGGGGAAGTGGGTGGATAAACACCCCAGCTCCCTCCCCCTCAGGTGTGTGCTCCACACTGGCTCCCAGAGTCCCCGGGTCCAGCTGGGTCACTCTCTATGGGAGCTGGTTTGATAGGCATCCTGTGTTAGCAGCCTTCTCCTTCTATCCCTTTTCTCCATTCTTCTACCTCTACTTCCCAAGTAAACTCCTCTCACTTAAATCCCTGTTCCAGGGGCTGCTCCTGGGGAACCCCAAACCAGGATGCATCTTCCCAGGGTCTGCAGGGGCCTCACCCTGGGCAGGAGCTGATGGGCAGCAGATGGGGCACTTGGGCCCCTGGGGGCCCAGAGAATTGGGTGTAAGTGCACACCAGGTGCCCTGGAGGCTGTGGTCAGGCCTTACCTCTGATGCTTGGGGTAGTTCCACACATTCGGCCTTGTCACACCGTGCCCCCCACCCTCTCCCAGCAACTGGAACTGCCCCAACACCCCAAAGATAAGAGCTAGCAAGGGCACACAGCCTGGTTCAACATAATGTTCCAGTTTACGGTTATAAATGTTAAGGAAATCAAGTGGAGAGAGAGGCTGCGGACCGATGCCAAAAAGCTTTAACATGATCCTTGGGGCAGGAAGAAGGCCCAGGACAGCCTGGGAGACATGAGGAGGACAGTGGCCCATCTTGTTCTCCCACTGGCCCAGGGTGGGCACAGGGCCCGGGAGGCACCGGTGAGCATCTAGTGAATGCACAGGCAGGCAAGGGCTACGGGCAGTGCAAGGAGGCTCTCACGCTGGGCCTAACCCCCCGTCGCTCTCTGCTTCTTGACCCCCTCAGCATAGCAGGGAGACCCCTGGGAGCACTCGCAGCCCTTGAAGCCAGCCTCGGAGAGCGGCCTCTGCCTCTAACCACCTCCTCCCAGACCCGGCCTAAGACGAAGTCCACCCCAGGAATGCTGATGGCACCACGGGAGCTTCTGGGGCCTGCCACAGCAAAGTAATTAGTTGCCCCAACGGGAAGGTTGCTTTGGAGAGAGCTGGGGGGGCTTCTCACCCAGCACCCCCGGGGGCGGGCAGCCGAGGGAAGAGTGGGAGACGAGGAGGTAAACGCCAAATTCAGGACAAGAGCAATGCAGTTCCCTGCTCCGCTCTGCTGCCCCCACAGGCCCCTCACCTGCACAGGCTTCCTCCTTGCCTGCGAATTACCTGCCGCAGGACCCTTTCTCCTCCTGATCCCTGATCCCTGGGCCCCAGGACCTCAGGGATCTTGCCTGGGGCTATTTTCAATGCCCATAAAGCTTTATGGCAAGAAGCCCACCCCACAGGCACTAAGGGGGGGGACAGGCTGGCTTCACCCTGCTTCTTCCACTTCGGCAGGGAGCGTGGCCCAGGGGACGGCGATGCCGTTAGGATTGTGGGGAAAGTCCAGGCAAATGTTGCCCCGGAGTCCGTGGTTCTGCTCTCGGACGGGGGGATAGCCAAGATGACTGCTTTAGCCCCGGGACCCTGGGGCAGGCCATGTTAATATGAGATTCTTTGAGAGGGCTGCCAGCTCCCCACCCCCTTGCTCATGAGGGCTCAGCACCCCAGGGGACTGATTTCTTCATAAGTCTCTCAAATGTAAATCCTCCTCATAAGTATTTATGATGCTGCAGATTTAACATAATAAAACACTTGGAGATTATGGATGAGCCAGTCAGAGAAAGCCAGGGTTCTCCAGGAGGGGAAGAAAGGAGACATTTCAATCTCGCACATTAAATAAAAAACAGCTTAGCCCCAAACCATCTTCCCACAACCCAGAAACAGACGGAGGCCTGTGAGCATTCCCCACACTGCCCTCGCCCTTCTGCTGGAGGCAGGAGAGGGGCAAGGGCAGGTCCTGGGGTGGGCTGGACCTTCTGGAGGGTGCCCTGTAACGCCAAGCCTTCAGAGCCAGCTCCCTGCCTGACCTCGGGAGGGTGGCTGCCTTGGCCATCCACTGTCCCCGCTACACACAGACCTAGACCTTCTTCACCACCTCCTTCCTTCCGGGTCTGCGGTGCATCTCTGGCTGTAGGGAGGGGCCGGCAAACTAGGAGGCAAGTGGTCCAGGGGTTCCAGGTACAGGTGTAGGGCGAGAAGGGTCCCAGTTCTCATCTGGCTTCACCCTGCTAATGGCCATGTGACCTCCGTGAGCCTGCTTCCCATCTATAAAACAAGGTAACAAGTTTCCAGCTCTCGGACTGTTGTAAGGATTAAAGGAGATAATGCTCGGGGCGCCTGGGCGACTCAGTCGGTTGAGCATCTGACTTCGGCTCGGGTCACGATCTCACAGTTTGTGGGTTCTAGCCGCACGTCGGGCTCTGTGCTGACAGCTCAGAGCCTGGAGCCCGCTTCGGATTCTGTGTCTCCCTCTCTCTCTGCCTCTCCCTGCTTGCACTCTGTCTCTGTCTCTCAAAGTTGA